CCTTCCAATGACCCGGTTAGGAGAGTAGAGGTATTAGATTTGACTTATGTTAAGAAAGGTAGAGGCAGACCTAAAAAGACTTGGTTAGAAAATATTAGGAATGACCTTTCTTTATTAGATTTAAATGAGAATTTGACCTTTAATAGGACACAATGGAGAAAAATGATTCATATAGCCGACCCCACAGTGGGATAAAGGTTTGATGTTGTTGTTGTAATTTTTCAAAATTACCACTAACTATTTTTCTGAAATACCACTAACCAACTTCTTAAAATTATTTAAATCAATAAATCACCACTAACTATTTTTCCCTAGTCCGTACTTGCAATGACATTACTATGCAGGGTATAGTTTGTAAAATAGTTCCTTCAGTTCTGATTTTCTGCCAATAATGCTTTCCGTTCACCTTTTTTGTAGCTTGTAAAGCCTGCATTTCAGGCAATGCTTGGACATTTAAGGTCTAAAGCTCTTGCAAGTTTTAAAATAGATTTGCAACAGTCTCTGAAGAAAGGAGTAGGGTTCGCGGTGTATGTTCGCAATTGCTCTCAATCAGCCATGCTTGAATTTGATCAGGGGTTTAAAGGTACCGTCTTCCATTATTCATTTTGCATTTTTCCTAATATATTCTTCTTTTGTAATGTTGGCAGTTCGCAGCTCATATTCATAGTTCAAAATTGTAAATAGATTTGTATTTTTTTTACTGATTTGAAATATCTACCTTGCCTTTGATGTGTCTATATTTCTTATTACATATTTCAATTGATGAAGTGTTACATGATGTGATTCTTTATTCTATATGCTCTATATAATTTTCTTAAAACATAATTCTGATGTATTTTGATGTCTTTAAGAAATGGAAAGTCATGATTGAGAATGTGACAAATTTAAAGATGAAGTGTCCCTGATCAGATAATGATGAGTATTGTGATGAAAAATTCATGGAATTTTATGCTATTGAATGGATCAGACATGAATTCACTATGTTAAGAACACCACAACAAAATAGTATTGTAAAGCTTAGGAATAAAACTATCATTGAACGTGTTAGAGCATGAGATTGCATGTTGGTTTACCAAAATAGTTATGGGCAGAAACAATAAATATTGCTGTTTATATAATCAATCGTGGCATATCATTTCCTTTGAATGAAGGTGCTGAAGAATTTTTGTAGTCCTCAAACGGATTGCATACTTTATGATTGAGCACGACATAAGAATGATGATATATTACCCCGAAGGGTAAAAATATCATTTTCTTATGAACTCAATGATAAAATTTATAATTTTTTTAACAGAGATTCCCCTATTTGATATTTTGGTCGAATGAGGTTTATTTATTTATGGGGTACAAACGTCCCATAGGGGCAAACCCCTATGGTTAATTACATCTCAAGTTTTGGCTTGAGAAGACTTTTGATTAAACTACTAGTTTTCTTCATTTTTGAGGGTCATTCAAATATTGGCTAAATCTTATTTTTGAAAATTCGTGAAAGTCTTATTTAAAGGATTTTAACATTTAGGAATTTCAAGGGAGAGATGATCAACTTAGAATTGGATTTTGAAATGAGAGCAAAAGGAGGTGAAGTTGGAGCACTTGATTCTGAGAGAAACTCAAAAGTGCTCAAACTATCATATGTTGGGCTTTATATTTTAGAAACATAATTTTTATTTAAGTTGATCATTTTTTTATTAAAAGGTTGGGTCTTACAATCCAACAATATATGTTGGAGGAATCGCTCGAAAGATGAGGACTTATATGGTGATTTGAATCAACTATTTACCTTAGATCCTAAAACTAAGGTGAGGACTACCGAGAGGTAGTGCCTCGAACTTAAGTCTAACGAAATGCAAAAGGGACTTATAAACTACACCTCACATGAGGTATAGCCCGTCCGACCTCTGGATTTACTGTCATGCCTGAAAAGGACTACCAGCTAGACCCAACCAATCAATTTTAAAATCATGCTGTCTAGTCTTAATGCAAATGTAGAGTGGAGGGCTATTTTTACTTAGGAAGTAGGGGTCATAGCTTGGCTTTGAGGCCAAGAGGCATGTGTATGAAGGTATGCATATGCTGACTCATAAAGAAAATGAATTTTTGTTACCTAGTCTTTAAATGAGGGCTTTCTATATTCAACACAATTTTGGCCATGCATGATTGTTTTAATTTTTGAAAAACTTGGCTCCTTGAAAGGGAGCCATGCAATTCTTTTATTAGGAAATCATGGAGCCTAAATTGATGTTTTAGATTGTTTACATTTTAATGGTAGAAAATTTACTTTGGTCCTAAGAGCCTACCACAAAAAATAGTCTAAGCCACACCCAAGCAAAAGCAAGGAAAGAAACCTAGGAAAAAGCATGATTTTCTATTGTGCAATCTGACAAACAATCAAACATATTTTTATATATAAATAAAGTGTAAGAAATGTAAATAGAGTCCAAGTTATTACAAACATGTTTGGCAGCTGAGTTGCCTGCCATTATACAACACAGTCAAATTATTACACTTTACTTATGGGGGGGGGTCATTAGGCTCTTGACTTCTGAATGGACATAGGGTTTCACCTTTGGCAGGTACATTTTTTTAGTCCACTTCATTCTTTTTTTGATCCAAACCCCCACAAATTTTACATCATACTAATCAAATATATTTAGAAAATATAAAAGACTCAAGCATGCAAAATATAGTTAGAAGCAGTTTATATGATAATCACATCCAAAATTTGCCTAGCACTTAGAGTGCTAAGCATCTGCTTCTACCCTATTGGCTACATCTTTTGGGCGGTTTTAAGCAGCACCTACCATGCAAACAATTTATTATTTTTGGGCGCCCCCCTTTTAGATATGATCACCTGCAAGAAGAACATGTAAATTTCTACACTATCCACTTAAGAGCATGTGCCAACAACACAGACAATCAAATATGCAATCACTCCACAACATCAAACACATGCACAAAAAAAGAAAAATCCTAATCCTAGCATGCGTAGGGGGCTGTGCACCTAAGTGTGTGAGGCTTGTATAGCATGTCACACTAAGGGTGTTTAGTTTTATTTTGGAATGAAGATGTTTGATCTTTATCCAAGAGTGGTTTCACTTTATGTTGTTTATGACTTAAAGATTTTATTTGATTTTTAAATGTTTCATATTTAGAAGGGTTATAAAGAACACATAAGGTAACCAATGCTTGCTTTTGGGCAAGTATGTTACTTATGAATCATAAGATGCAATGATATAGGTATCCCACCTTTTAGGGGAGATGATTGATCATTGTATCAAAAAGAACCTAAGTGATTTTTAAGTATTTTGAAGTTCTCTTAGTGTTTGGATAAGAGAAGTGTCTATTCGATAGGGTAAAATAGATATGCCTAAGGGGTTAACTTAGGACTTGGTGAAATTCATCCAATAGAGTAGGATGAACTTCAACATAAAGAGCAACTCCTAAGGGACATCTATGTGTTTAACATTTTAAATGTCATTGGAGAGATCACTTGATTTGAGTTGAATGAAAGTGATTAGATTTTTTGTCTAAGAAAGGTGTCCAACATGTAACTTTTGGGCTACATGTTGAAAAATTCTCCTTACCTTTTGGAGCTAAGAAGAGAAAGTAGGAACCCAACATTTAGCTTTTGGGCTAAATGTTGGAAAACTCCTTTTAGATTTTGGAGCTAAAAAAGGGGAAATCTCCTACAACTTTGGAGTTGGAGGAGAGTGGGAACCTATAGCTTTTGGGCTAGGATATTACATCTTCTAAGACCTTTGAAACCTATAGAAGTGAGGAGAGATTAATAGCTTTGAGGCTACAAATCAAAAGGATGTCTCCTTGAATTTTTGTTTTCAAGGAGTTGGGTTTCATTTGCTTAATTTGGATTAGGCAAACAAAGGTGAGTCACTTATTGATTTTAGCTCATTGGGTGAGAAAGATTTGTAACTTTGGGGTTACGAATTAAGAGGAATTATCATTGAACTTTTATGTTCAATGATGAGTATTTAGTTTGCTAAATTTAGATTAAGCAAACATAAGATAATATTGTGTAGTTTTGGCCTACACATCAAGGATTCTTTGGACTTTCGGGTGTCCAAAGAGAGGAACTCATTCACCTAGTTTTGGTTAGGAGAATGAGATAGTTTCCTACAAATTTTTTTTTTTGAGTTGTAGAAAGGGGGAAATGAAGTGCAACTTATGGGTTACAAGTCAAAGGAAATCCCTTGAACATTTGGTGTTCAAGGAGAAGGTATCATTCACTTAGTTGGGGTTGAGTGAATGGAGGGGGGGGGACTTGGATTTGAATCCCAAGTTTCAAGAGATTATTTATTAGTTTTATGTTCTAATGAATAAGTGATTTGATAAACTCCCTACAACTTTGGGGTTGAAGGAAAAATATGCAACTTGAGAGTTACAAAACTTCATGAATGTTATTTGAATATTTGATATTCAAAGAGGAAGGATCATTCACCTAGTTGAAGTCAAGTGAATGAAGATGGATACTCATTTGTTGATTTTGTGACTCGACAAATGAAGGAGGTAGCTTAGGATTTGGCCCTAAGCTCCAAATGATTCATGCAATGATATATTTGGAGACTTGAGAGGTCCCAAATAATCATGCATAAAAGAGGGAGATTGTTTGTTGATTTCGTCTCAACATACAAAAGGTAGATGATTAGAATTCGTTTCTAAGGTCTACCAACCATGTAACGATATAGGTTGGAGCCTTTGGAGGCTCCAAATTATCATACATGAAAGGATTTTGTGCTGGTTTCTTGTGTTCCAACAAATAACATGTTGAAGAACTTAAAATTTGGTTCTAAGTTGGAACCTTTGGAGGTTTCAAAATCTCACACGCATGGAGGAAGAATAGTGTTAACTTGTTGATTTTGTACCAACAAGCAAGATAACATGAATTTAGGATTTTCATCCTAAGGTTATAAGAGCTATGCAATGAAGGATTTGGGACTTTGAGGAGGTCCCAAACACCATGTGTGAAAGAGGTAGTTGTTCGTTGATTTTGTCTCAACAAACAAAGGATAGAAGAACTTGGGATTTGGTTCCAAGTTCAAGGTCTCTTGGCATGCGTTTAGGATTTTAGGAAAATCCAAGTTAACATACACAAGGAGGGATATATGATTGTTCATTGATTTTGTTTCAACAAACAAGAGGCGGGTGACTTAGAATTTGTTTCTAAGGTTTTGTACCATGTAATGATATTAGTTGAAGCCTTTGGAGACTCCAAATTATCATACATGAAAGAGATGGGTATCCATTTGTTGATTTTGTGACTCAACAAATGAAGGAAGAAGATGGTTTGTTGATTTTATGTTCCAACAAAAGGATGGATAGCTTAGAATTTAGTTCCAAGCTACAATGATTCATGTGTAGGAGGAGCATTTAGAACCTTGGAGGGGCTCCAAATACCATACTAGACACAAAATGAATGCTTTTACATAGATTTGAGAGGCGTTGGATATCAAACCAACACTCCTACGCGTATGGCATACCTTTTTGGCTCCCACAAGAGAGCAAACAAACGGAAATCACCGGATTTCCGCTGTTTTACGGAGAGGATAGCACACATGGGTTTTGGGG